ATAAATGTATTTGCTATTTCATGGTTTGCTTTTTGTAATGAGTCCATCAAGTCAAACACTCAAGTACATTAATTAAACATTTTCCCACAGAACTCAGCAACTGGATAGCAGTCCTTAGAATATTGGTACCATTATCCAGGTTGGTCTCAGCCCAGTGTGGAGCAGCATTTAGCAGTTGGGGCAAGCTGTGATTACTCGAATGGATGAATTTGGTGGACTGGCAGAATGTGCCCCATGGCTGTGGGCTGACTGCTGCGTTACTTCACCAGGCCTGCAGCAATTAAGTCAAACCATGCTGAGGAGCAGTGTCTCCTTTAACTGCATAGTAACTATTCAGGCTTTGAGCATCTATGGCCTTGTCCATCAAGCACTATGCTTTTGTGGTCTTTTGAAGAGCTCCTTGGCCCTAAGCAAGAGAAATAAAACATTACCTTGTCTAGCAGAACAGGACTGTTTAGATGAGAGGCATGTTTTTATTGAGAAAATAAAATGTGATAAATGTAATAGTTTTTGTCTAAATCAATGCCAAAAAGGAGCTAAAGGTGCAGGTAAAAATACTAATTTAATGTTTAATCCAGAAAATATCCAGCAAAGGCAAATCTCAAGCCATATTTGTAGGATTTTTTTTTTTTCTTTTAATGCACTTCATTAATGGTTTTGTGTAACAAGGATCTTTATCTGTCTTTCCATACAGTATGTAGACATATCATACCTTGTGTCAGGAACTTCAGGCACTTTTAGAAAGGCTATGTGCTACATATGTACTAAATTACATATACATATAACATGATTCTGAGGTACCTGCTACATATGTACTAAATTACATATACATATAACATGATTCTGAGGTACCTGATGTGATCCTACCTATTCAAACTTCTCTGTGTTCAAGTAATATCACACTTGTCTACAACCTCTGTAGAGCTCACCTTTCCCTATTTTGTCACTTGTTTTTTCTCCTGCATATGTTTTGGTACATGGAAATGTGATATTTATCTTTTGACAGATAATGTTTAATTTTGCCTTCAGCTTGTTTTTATGTAATCTATTTCATACTGGTTTTGTTAATATTGCCATACTTAAGATATATATTCTCTCCCCAGGGCATTTTCTGTATCTGCTTTCCAAGTAATACTGTGTATATAATCCTACTGAATTGCAATTATATCCACCAATCAAAATTCATGACTCTGTAGAGTTGCTGCCTTGTAACTACGCATTTCATTCTTTATTATGAGACTTTTGGCAATATAACTGGCAGCCTATAATCAGCCAGAGTGCAGGAATTTTGAAGTGTCAGGGCTGTGAGAAATCATCTCTGAAGCTCAAGTTGGCTTGTTTTGGTGACTGTAGTAGAATCACAGAATAACAAAAGGTTAAGGAGGTGAACACAGCATGTCCAGATGGTGCGTAGGTAAATTGGTTATTTCTGGAAGTGATACTTAGACAAAGTTCAGAAATGTGTGGCACCAGGAACAATTTCGAGGATTACAAGAACGTGTTGCATAATACCAAAGTAGTAATCATTTAGCCAGAGAGGAGCTGTGTGACTAGACATGGGTTTATGGGTGGGTTGTGAGGTAGCAGACAGCTTAGTCACTTAGTGCCATGTGCACCAGGCCATTGCAGGAGGCGCCTCCAGGGTGTCTGTGCTTCCCCTCTAGACTGCCCTCTGCGTGGTGGACATTTACACAGTTTAGCAGTTACTAAAAGATTTAGTAAAGCTGTAACTGCCTTGTTCAGCTTTCAGTTCATCAAATTTTGTCTTTCAGTTTCTCCTAAGACAGGTGGAGTCACATTTTAGGCAAGTGTGCTTTTTTCAGAAGCAGATATTTGGCTCGCGAAGATTAATCTGGTAGTTTCTCTTTGCCTTGTATGTTTGGCAGGTTCTCAGACTTTTGTGCAGTTGAATGTTCTCACTTGGCCTTAAACTCTAATATTGAAATGCTCCAAACGGAATTATCTTTTTTTCTGTTCAGAGATAGAAGTGTTCAGTTAAACTGGATGGTCCCCTGGCATTTACGAGGCTGTATGTAGGTGTGCACTCATGAAGTTTTACAAAGGGTCAAGAGCACAGAGATGGTAAACGCTTTGTTAAGAGGTGAATTGTAGGATGAAAGGAGATCAGAGAGCTAGGCTGGGATTTTTTCAGCAGGACAGACTGGCCTGTATTGGTTCCCAAAGAGTTCCCTATGTAAAATTAATCTGCAAGGATATTAGCATATGAATATTGAAGCTTGTGAACCGATACTCTGGCTGAATAACTCTACATAACTAATGCCAACACATAGAATGGTTTTTGATACTTGTATTAAAAAAACCCTACTTCTGAAATATGATTTTATCAAATAGTTGGTATATTATTAGACCGGTGAAGTCAGTTACACACTCCAAACATTATAGTATGTAAATTAAACTAAAAGTTAATTTTACATTTTCCCTGAGTAATGAAACTATGTCCTGATGGATATTGCATTTTAATGTTCTTTTGGTTGATCATATTATATTTTCTTCCTCTTGTTATTTCCCATAAACAGTGTCATTTCATAGTGCTGACAGCCTATATACTAAATGCCACAGTGAAACAATGGAGCTGTATTGTCCTCCATATACCGACAAATCTCTTTGCTTAATGTGTGTTCAATAAAGATAAAATAGCAAATGTTATTAATCCAGGGGAAAACCACAATGAAAGTTATTAATGTGTTTTTCAATGGTGTTATACACGTGCCACTTTTTTTTTCTTTTCTTTAAAAATACAATTTTGTTGAAATAAGACAGCAAGAAAAAAACTACATCATAAAAGTGCAATAGCAATGAAGTTATTTGTTTCAGTGCAGCCTCAAAAGACAAGAGAGCTCATTTCTTTTTTGGGCAGTGAGAGAGAGTATTAAATGCTGTTCTCTGTTTTCAATTAAACACTAACATTAAATATAAAAGTTTAAGAATTATTCATTTTTCCTTCCTCAGTCAAATTTCCTCACAGATTTTAAAAGTATTATACCCAGAGGAGGAGTTTAAAAAATGACTAGCTGTTTTTTTTACTTCCATTTCACAGAACTGCAGTATTGTTCCTCATCATGAGCTACATAAGGAATCAAATTTGAAAAAACACTTAAGGGGCCTTTACCTGGAGATCATTTAGTCCACATTGTCTCACAGGAGTGTTGGGCAGGCTGGGGAAGTGCCTGTCCCTTGTCAGTGGATGGTTTGTGTTTGAGGAGCCACAGCTGGTTGCCTGGTTTTTGCTCATGCTGTAAGGCTGTGTAAGGACTTCAGTGTTCTCTCCATCCTTTGGCTGGAAAGGTCAAAACACAGCAGCTACTCCCAGAGGAGCATCACCTGGCTGTGCTCTGGTGCCAGTGAGAGTCAAATGGCAGCTCTGTGGAGGATTTGTTGGAAGAGTGTTGGCCAGGGTGGTTCCCTCCTGCAGTCCTTCCGCCTGTGTCTGGCTCAGGGCTGCCTCTTCCCATTCTGAGCCCTAGTCCTGCCTTTCCCACCTCTCCCAGCTGTAGCCAGTGACCGTGGGCTGCCTGTCACCCTGACTGGTGGAGGTTGTGGCTGTTGCTCCACGCTTTAGCTCCAACTCAGGGTCTGCCTGAGCTTTTGGTGCCAAGGTGCAGGTCCTGGGCTGGCCACGGTGGCCATATGTCCTGCTGGAGGCAAAGCTGCTGTCCTCTGGCTGGCAGAAGCTGTGCCACAGTGCTGGGCAGGGGCCTGGCTGTGTCCTGCCTTGGGCAGTGTGCCTCTCTCCCTCCAAAGCCCTGCATTCCTGCTGAGAGCTGAGCAGCTGTCAGCTGAGCAGAACAGACCTCTATATTCCATTTTGACCCCTGAGTGCTGCTTCATACTGCTTGGGACAAACTTCCGAGGATTCTTATTTTTTAGAAAAAGTAAATACCTAAAAAAGGCGTACAGCTAATAAGTTCACCTTGGTTTTGTCCATGCTCTGTCCCTTGAAGCACCTTAAAATACTTGACTAACTGCAAGCCATCATTAAGAATTCTGCCTCTGCTAGGCATGTAAGTGAGAAAATCTTAAGGCAGGAGAGAATCCTTCTCTTTTGAAAATAAGGGGTGGGTGTCTGGATTGCTTTTATTATTAGCACTGCCTCACTGGATCACTGCTTCAGTAACATAATATATAATAATATGTATTTCCAAGTGTCAAGGCTTCTCGTTTAAAGCTTAACTCAATTTTAAATCCATGTGGAAAGGGAAGACCTTTAAAATACTTAATAAATTCTAATCTTAATCATATTCATCATTATTAAAATTTGAAATAGGTTGAAATACTTAAGGTAAGTGAAATGAAAAAAACTAATAAAGAGCATGAAACACACTGGAGAAATGGAAGAATAATTGCTAAAGATTAAGAAATCTAAAATGGCCAAACATGAAAAAGCCTTCATTTCCAATAAGCATTTATTTAAAAGTTTTGCAATACCTTAATAATATAAAAAGAAATTTTAAAAATGAATTGAATATTAAATGCAACAGAGGGGCAAGACATGACTAAATACATTAAAACTTATATTAGTTCTGTCTTTCAGCTTCGGGTGTGATTTAGGTCTTGTCAGTTCTTGAGAGAGTTGTGTCACCTTTTAGCAAGGAGACAACATCTCTATTGGTGTTGCTGTTAATAATAATTATTAGCATTGTGGTAATAGTAGTGCCTAGTAGTGCCATATTAAGTTGTGCCTAGAAGTGGCAAGGTACTATGGTGAAGACATCAGCTTGCTCAGTTTTGTACAAGCCAAACATAAAACTTTTCTCTTCCAAAAGGTTGAGTAACCTAAGCATGAAAGGAAGGACCTCTTTGGTTTTAATTAAAAGTTATACTGAGGTAATAAAAAAATTTGCCTCCTATTGTTTAACCTTTTTTTTTTTTATTTTCTGCTGGTGAATGAAAAGGGGTGTTTGAATGGTGCACTTCACAATGTAAGAAAATGGCATTAAATCTTTCAAAAATTAAAACTAGTAATTTTATTTGTATTTTAGGGATTACTTACCTTGACCATGCTGGTTCAGCACTTTTCCCAGAGAGTCTGCTTAAAGCTTTTACTGATGACCTCAGAAACAACGTTTATGGTAAGTGCAAAGCAACATTCCCATGAGTCTTCTCAAGTTTCCATCTAAATTATTCAAAACTGATCTTCTTGGAAGAGACCTTCTGCAGGATTTTTAATACTGTTGTAGAATAGTTGGAAGTCCAGTGCTTTTACAAAGGAGGCAGAGACCCTTTGTGTCACCTCTAGCTTCATTATTTGGTGGCCAAGCACCTGTTGATGTTGGTGAAGAAGAAAAATCAAAATGAGCACAGTTCTGTTGTGTGACTTTGTTAGGCCACTAGGCTTGGGATAAACAAATACATTTTAGCTATAAGCACTGTTCATTCCTTGTGGTTTTTTTCCACATAAATATGCAAACCCGGTTTCTTATCCAAGGACTGGAATCCAGAGCCACATTCCTTCTCAGACAGAGTCACCACAAACAGCTTATACTGTGACTCAGTATAAGCATTTTATTCAGAAGAAAGCATAGCTCAGAGATCCCAAATGAATTTAGGCACAGAATAGGTGCTATTAGACTTTGCTCTGCTCTGACTATTAGACTTTGGTGCCTACTCAGAAAAAGGATAGGTATTGCCAATGCAATCCTGTGCAGAGGAATGTGAGTAAAAATATCTACAGAATTGAATTGTATCTGGGTGGAGATCTGTTACAGCACCACTTGCAAGTACTTCATCCCCAGATTCTCTACCTAAACCTTTAATTTCTTTCTAATGTTATTATCTGGCCGAGAATCACACACCAAGTGTGATTTTACACAGTCAGCAGCATCCCTTGTTAAAGAAATATTGTTACTGTGTGAGACAATTTACATTAGAGTGAGTCATTCTCAACCAGAAAAAAAAATACTGCACAATATTATGCTGTGAGTAGTCCCACTAAAGCAATCAAATTTCCTTTGTTGAGTTACTTGTGGGTCATGTGTCCTTTTTGCAAGTTTTGTGTCTTTCTTGGGCTCCCTGGTACATGGAACGAAGGGATTCATCACTTGGGAACTAAGTACCACTGCTTACAAGAAAATGCTTGTTCACTTCAGCGCTGGCACACATGTGCTTATCACCTGGGCAAGCCACTTGAGCGTTTTGGGTAGTTTTCATTTTCAATGTGCCATTATGTTATTTCCACCTATTATTTTTTCCTGAATGCTGCCAAGGGTGGGATCCAGAGGAGAAATTTAAGTTCCATTACAAAGTAAGTGTTATTCTTGATGGGGATAAGGGCTTTTTACTGTTATAACAAAATACATCGATTTGATTACATTCAAGATCTCCTATTCAAGTGCATACCAGTGATATGAAAATTAATGTTCTGTCACCACAGACATTGTAAAGTGAAATGTATGAGCTCTGATCTTAGTTATTTCAAACAACATTGGGCTCAACCCTTTTAATAAGTACCATCTGTGGCAGAAAAAAATTAATTTGTGAATCAATTGAGTGCTTGTGAATAGAAATAGTACTGCCAGTTTGGAGCAGATTTGCATAGTACCTATAATGCTATAGGAGAACAAATTGTATCTTTTTATTGGTGTTTTCATCTGAAATGATGAGCTCCAGCATGACCATTTTTTTTTTTCAGTTACATCTCATGCTATAAGGACAGTAAATGCTGACAGTAATAGGAAGAGTTAATTTAACAAAGATGTGAATGAAGGGGGAGTTTGACTTGCAGCTTTTTTTATTTTCTTGGTAATCCACAGGCTCAAAGAACTACAGTTTAGCTGTTGCATGTGGAAATGGGGGAAAATAATATAAGTAAGAAATAGTCTCACTTCTAAATTGAAAAGATTTGAATTGGAAATTACAGAAATGCAGCATCAGACATGAAAAGTCTGAGTAGTAGTTTTGGGTTTGAGCTGTAAAGTTATTATTTTCAACACCTTCACTCAACAACTTTCAGCAGGGTGACTTAAATTTTGAAAAGTGTAGCTAATATTGGAGCCTACTGCAAATACTGTGTTAGTATAACAATTTTTTCATTATGCCCTTTCCAAACTGTTTTGGCATGTTCTCTAAGTATTTGCTTATAGGAAAGTGTGGTGTGCCTGGGTGAATGTTGCTGTTATCTTTATTGCTCAAGAAGATAAAATCATGCTGTCTTAATTGTTATACATGTTTCTGCTGAGCTGGGCTCAGGTGGCTACTAATTTCACAATAAAATTTATATTACAATGAATTATTTGAATTTCAGACACTAAAGATCCAAGGATTAGTTCTTCTGTCTAGTCATGATTTTTTGCTTCTTAGCTACTGCACAAATACCTTTATGAATGTGCAACCTGTCTGTAGTTTTTCTAGTAGGTTTGTGCATGTGCAGTTTCATTTTCTTTTTAGGGGAACAGCCTAAGTATTAGTAAGAGATCCAGCTGAAGTTTCTAGGTCTGTCATAATGGCTTTACCCTGTTGTATCTCCTTTCTCTTGACTAAGGGGCTCCAGGGAAATGCTGTGAAGTATGCATTGAATCTTTATCATCTTTTAGGCCTGCTTAATGTCATACTTTGATAAAAGAGAAATTTAATAGCAAAATTGTGATTAATGATTGATTTCTGTATCTCTGTTGTCTCCTAGGCAACCCTCATAGTCAGAATATCAGCAGCAAGCTGACATATGACACAATCGAGCATGTTCGATACAGGTAGAATAATCTTTTTTTTTCAGATGTTGTATGATTCACTTGATAGTTTTCATTTGGGTTAGGCCTGCACTGTTTTGATGACTTTGATGTGATACCATTTTCCAAGGGTCATCTTTCATACCTAAAGAAAACAGCTCACTTTTAAAACACAAGGTATTTGGTCAGTCAAGTCTTGGATCATATAAATTATTTTTCTCCCAAATGCCCAAATCTTCAAAGTCCTGTAGTTAATTTAGTGCTGTAATACAAGTCCACAGTTTTAATTAAGATGTAGGACTTGGAATTTCAGAAGTGATTATTAGTAAAATGATATGGTAAGATATTAATGTGGGACTAGGTACAAAGACATGGTTAAAATTCCGATAAAATTAAATAGGGTGTAATGGCTTGTGAGAATTTACAAAAAGCTTATGGGAATGTGTACATTGTTTTACCTCAGGTACTTATTTCCATTGGACTAATAAAATACCTTTTAAAGCAGTTTTAGTATAACTTTTAATAGTAGGAAGAAAAAAAAGGGTAAAATTGAGTGTTGGGACTTCTGGGTATGGGCAAGAAAATGACCTGATTCTCTAAATAAAGTAATCCTTTGAAAGTTCAGGATGGAGTGTGCTGAAGGTAACTTCATGCCATTGATCTGTCATGATTTACATCATGACGAAATGCACAACTTGGGCACTTGGTTATTGGTTTTAGGGATTTGTTTCAGAAAACTCTTGCTATTTTATAGATACATTTTAATCACAGAATATGGATGCTTTGAGTTTATTTGCTTGATTTTAATGACACTAGTAAGGCAAGTAAAGAATGTAATGTATTCCTGTTTTATCGTCTTCCTTGAAAGTAAATATTTCTCCAAAACACATCACAGAATTCAAATCAATAGCATTGTAGTGTTCATAGTTGTAATGGAGAAAATTTGTTTTATACCTTTCTGCTGCCTTTTCTCTGACTGTTTTTATGGGAGTGTAAAAAACCCCAAGTTTTCTAGTTGGGTGCTGCTGCTGGCTATAATCTGTTTCCCCCTTCCCATCACCAGCTTTCTGGAGAAAGCATTTCTTTTTGCTTCTGCCACAACCCTCTCTTAATGCTGTGCAGGATGACAACCTACTAATGTATGAAAGAGACTACCCATGAGGCATAGCTGTCTTCAAAAGCAGACATTTATAGCCAGTTACAGCAGTACCCACAGTCTGCAGTCTTCTGAGCAGACCTGTGTGCTCGCACACAGAGTTAGCATTCTGATTTCCATTTGCTCAGTGCTGTTGCAGTGTTGCTGTTTCACAGTTCTGCTTATGAAGGCACAGTAGGAAGTGTAACTGTTTTTAGAATAATTATTATTGTACGGTGTGTTCTTCATTGTTAAGGAGTAAGGAAATAGGCTTTCACTGAGTAAAAACATAGATCACATTAGAAGAACTAACATATTCAGAATGTTTTTTTGGATCCTGCTTTAAAAAAGATTGAGACTTTCCTAAGGGCAGAATGGGAGATGACAAGAACATACCAGTGTTAGTATTTTAGGGTTTATTGTGTGTTTTCTTTTTTGTTTTTTTAAAAGTGCACTCTACAGCTAAGTGAAGATTTTTGGTATTACACCTGATAGAATTTCTCATCTGTCCCTAAAGATATGCGGCCATTTTTAAACTCCCAATAAAAATTTAAAAAGCATAGTCATCAAAAAGGCATAGTCATAAAAATTCAGTAAGAAAATGCCCCAAACCTACTGTCAATAAGTCAGCTATCCAAAATGCAATAAAAGTATATTAAAAATCTATACTTCTATGCCATTGCAGCAATCAAAATAAGCAGTATGACAAGACAGGGAGACAGGCAGCTCTGTCCTGCATCTGAGTGCGTAGATTGGATTTCCTCAGTGAAAAAATTATTCAGCAGGTAGTTTTAGAAATCTTAAAATGCGTTGCTGGCTTGTAATTAGGCTTTTGGCACATGGCTGCAGTCAGAAGTATAGGGGGTTTTTTTTCAGTGTTTGCCTCCAAGACAATACTATTTTATTTTTTTAAATTATACTTTAAATTTGATTTTTTGATGTGATGGCGCAATCAGCTAATTAAAAATTAACAGAAAACTTAATTTCAGATTTATATTTGCTGATATAGGTGACAGCAGCATCAGAATAGAATTTCCTAATCTGTCAGTGTGTTCAATGGTACAAAGCTGAATAATTTGGTTTTACCTTCATATCTGCTTGACAGAGAGAAACCAATCTTAGAACGTGGCTTCACAAGAGAATAACATAAATAATTAAATAATTGAGTCAGTACATGTTTTCTCTGATTTAAAAAAAATAAAATGCTTTACCTCTTGACCAACTCAAGTGCAATAAGATTAGAAATAACTATTTTATTCTTAAAAACATTGCATCTCTTTTCTTAACGTGGACTGCTGAGTGATTTTAAACATTGTGCATACTTCAACATTAACCATGAGTGATGATGAAAAGAGGAAGCAAGAAACGTAATAAACCTTACTGAAATGTATAAAATGTATGCATCAAAAGATTCTAGATCCTTTTATATTGCTTTACTTATGGATGTATGGCACTGCCATTGCTCAACTCCACACAGCTAGAGAGCAGGGGTACAATATCTCCTTATGATGCTGCAGTTAATGTAACTCAGAAATTAATTACACTGAATATTAAATAACCCTTTTCCCATACACAAGCATTTTAAAATACGAGATTTCTGAATATTTTAAAACATCGTCCTTGTGGATCTTGCACTTGCAATATGAAATAGTGCAGCAATGTCTTCTAACCAGAACCAGACTGATGTTGCTTACAATTTTTTGTATGTTTAAGATATACAACAGGATACTTTTTCATTTAAATACAGTGTTGTAATAGAGTTTTGATGTTCATCCTTGAACTTTCAGGTCCTATGAAGTGTTAAACTGAATCATACTTTAGAAATTCAAATACACATTAAAAAAAAAAAAAAAAAAGGCCAGAAATTTCAGTTATGATTTTGGTACCAAGCATCTCCTAGACTGTGGCAATATGTGTATTACAGAATGTTTTCACTGAAGCTGAAAGGACTGGGTATTGAGCTAAATGGGATCAAGTTAAAATATAGATCCAAAACATGTATTTCTATAAAGACTTCTCTCAAAATATGCTAAGTGAACTGTAAGAGGAGATTCATCTCTGTGTCCAGTGCATACAGTCAAAAACAGGTACAGTGGACATGTACAAAATAACTGTAAATGGCTCAGTGTTTTAAAAATATATTTTTTTCTGTGGTAAAACACACAGGTGGTACCAGATTACGCTAAGGAAGCAGTCTCATAAATGCTGTTTATAATTCCATTTGCATTGTATTTTTAGAGAACATTTCATCATAGCAAAATAGAACTTTACATTCCTTCTGCAAGCATCATACCTTGCTTATGAAATAAGTTTCCATTCCACTTAAGTTAACACATTTTGAAATGGCATTCTGTGCATGGTAGGGATTTTTCTTAATTCCCAGGTTTAAGCAGTTCTGTGTCTGAAAACAGTAATGTTGGAACTGATACATACATGAAAATGCGTTGACCTTTCCTACACAGTAAGAAGTAGTAGATACAGTATCTGCTTAGTATTGATTTGTTCTTTGCAAAGGTCAATGACAGGAGACCGTATGGAAGAGTGACATCTGAGTGCTGTATCCTGACCTCCTTAATGGCACCCATCTACTTGAAAACCTCGTTTCCAGTCTTGGGTTCAGCCCTTTTGCATGCTTGTTTTAGAGCATCATTTGAAATCGCTCCTTTCCCTGATCCCACTGCTCAGTGGGACAACTCTGAAATACCACAGTCAGTGAAGTCCAGCAAAAGGTCACTGTGCTCACTGCAAATGAGAGAGGGATTAGAAGATAATTAGGAATAATGGATAGATTTTTTGGAAGAGCTTAGGCAAGAGGGGGATCCCTTCCTTGTGGTTCATGAAATTGTTTAGGCATGCAATTAAACAATCCCAGTGTGCCCCCAGTGAGTGGCTGATGACCCCACTCTGAGCTCTGTCATGTGCTGAGTGACAGCACAGTGGGGGCTTTGGTGCAGATGCTTCTCTCAGCCACACCTAGCCTTTTGTGCTAAGAACTCCATTTTATAAACATCTGCTTTTGAGTCAATCCATTGCTTTTGGTGGGTTTACTCTTTGCAGTCCTATGCAAGGTAGTAAAAAGCTTCTGGTTAGGGTAACTGATACTGTCATTTTTGAATTTTGAAAACAGGAGACTGTTTTAAGAACAAGTAAAATAATTTTGTTTTACTTTAGAACTTTGCTCCTGGACTTTCAGCTCTAACTTAATAAATTAATTAATCATTAACTTGATGAGCTGAAGCTTTAGAAAGGAATTTGCTAATGCCTTTTGTTACTCTTCTGGTAGTTGGCTTTATACATTCATATGTATGGAGAGTAGTAAATAAAACTGGTACATACACTGTCATGCTCTCTGACTTAGTTGCATAGAGTCAAATCTGGAATGCTTCATTTATTGCAAGAAATAGTTCAGTAAAATAAATTAAAAGCTGGAGGTCAAGATTGCTAGTTTATGAACAAAATGGAAGAAATGCTCCTGGGAAATTCTGAGTTTTATTAATATGGATGGCTAGGATGTTTTGCATAGAGGTCTGAAAAAGATTGGATGCAACCTTTAATTTTTTTTGCTTTCTGATTCAGAAAAAAACCCTCAGGACTCTGCTTTTATAATATGTCTGTGACCAAAAACTTATGCAGACTAACTTTAAATGTTGTGATCTTTCTGTGCCATTGCTCTCTAGATAACATTCAGTGTAGAGAGAGTGGTACAGGCTTACTTGGATTCAGGCCACCAGTTTAGTTCACATTTTTTTTAAAATGCAAATTCCCTTTTTTCCATTTTCTTTGTCTCTTTGTCTTTTTCAGGATTTATATGGAAGCTTTTTTTCCCCTCCCAAGGCTGTACAATACTTACAGAGGAAATGTAGTGTTCTTCCCTCTTCTGGGTTTGCAG